TTTGAGACCCAGGTTGAAGACGGTCCGTTGAAGACAGATACCATTCCGAAAAAGACACTCACGCGGTGCCTTCTGTAACTATAAAAGCAACACATGTAAATAATCAAAATCCTTAGTTTCACTGACTTATCCGCTAGAGCGATTATGAAAACGTAAGACTGAAAAAACATATTTTCCACAACAGACTATGAAGTGGTTGGCCCTTATATATTCTGTTACGCCTGCTTACACATTTTGAAATACGATTATGAATTCCTTACTTGTATCCTTAGAAAAATGACATTTAGGGGGAAAAAACTGCTAATTCCTAGTCTTAAATGCCATCCGTCCCTTCCCTCCACCCCCTAAGGGGCGGCAGCCCGTTTCGGGGTGAGGCGAAGAAACGCAGAACATTTCAAACTGGACATAGCGGGGCTAGAAAACCTGCATAATTTTAGAGCACCTCTGGTGTTAAAAGCAAAGCTTTCAGTAGTTCTGGCAACCTCGAGCAAGTTTTGCATTTCTGAGCAACGTTTGGGAAAAATATAGGCTTATGTCAAGCCAGAAAAAAGTGAGCAGTTTGATAGAAAATGTCAAGTACGACTGAACTGCGCCCGTATAAGCGCCCCTAATGATTCTGGCAGGGGGAGGGAGGGAATTTTGAAATGGAGCGAAGGGGACCTAGGTCTAACCATACCGTCTGCGCTTTAGCTGTGAGTCTGCCTTGGAGATAAATTTCGCTCATATTTTTGAGCAACTCTTTAAAGAAGATTGCAAGCCGTATAGTTGCGTCCGTCTGGAACGCTGGAGCCGTGAAACCAATGATCGCGCCCCTCGCACCTTGAAAAAAAAAGCTGCGTTTTTTGAGAAAAAAAGGAAACGAAAATAAAAGAGAAGGAAAGGCCGTTCGCACTAACTAAAAGCTATTGTTTTTTGCATTGCTATTGAAAATCTGAAAAGGAACAGTCTTACACACGTAGCCCTCGGGGCGGTTCCAGGTATATAACCTTTACGTAAGCGTAGGATGTAAGACACACTTGCGGATACGCGTAAGCATAACGTGAGATACCCAGGCGCAAAAAAATAACAGTGGCGCGGCTAATGTTGGCTCCCCTCAAAAATGAAGCGAATTAACGTGGGCTTGAAAAGTGAGATATTCGGATATCTTCGGGATAATTGATAGCGAGTTATTTCCAGTCCACGGACTTTCTCCTAAATTTTTCGAAAGTATTTGTTCTCTTAGAAAACCCAGAATTTCGAGATTTCTTGATAGTTTTATACATACGCTAATTATGAGATTCCTTTTCTTCTTTCCTAACGATAAGTTAAATAGGTCAAGAAAAAACAGCTTTCAGTAAGTTATAAAATAAGTTTTTTGAGGGCGCGATCTTTGGTTTCACCGCTGAGCGTTCCTGACGGGCCCAAATATAAGGGCTTGCAATCTCCTTTAAAGAGTTGCTCGACACTGTGGGTAAAATTTATTGCCAAGGGAAACGGACAACTAAAAAGCAGGCGGTGTGCTTAGAGCTAGGTCCTCTTTGCTCAATTTCAGAGTTTCCCCTCCCCACCCAGCCTCCCCCTCCCGCCCAAGTCATTAGGGGCGCTTTTACGGGCGTTGTTCAGTCGTACTTGACATTTTCTATCAAGCTGCTCACTTTTTCTGGCTTGACATGTGCCATAACCTATATTTTGGCAAAACGTTCCTCAGAAATGCAAAACTTGTTCGAGTTTGCCAGAACTACAGAAAATTTAAACACAAGAGGTGCTATAAGGTTATGCAGGTTTTTTAGCCCCGCCATGTCTAGTCTGAAATGTTATGCGTGCCTTCGCCCCACCCCGAAACCTTCTGTGGCCCCTTAGGGGGTGGAGGGAAGGGACGGATGACATTTTAGACTACGACTTAGCGCTTTTTCCTAAGAATACAAGTAAGAAATTCATAATCGTATTTTAAAACGAGCGTGATGAAAACAAAAGACTACGGTGGAACCTCGATTTAACGAAGGGCCAAGGGCTTAAAAAAATTTCTGAGCCACTCAACGACGGTTTCCTTCTAAATTCATTGAAAACATTTTTCAATGGTGCACCCAGAGTACTTTTAGATCTCTAGAAACGCATTCTAAGCGGCTTGTAAAATTTGTTCCTGTTCGGTCATCCTAGGGGAACTTGCATTGAGCATTTTTGAAATTACAAGGGCTTCAATATTATTTTCCCAAAAATTTTAGATGCAATTTAACGTATCACGAAAGTGAGAATTTTTCTGATTCCTCTCTCAATCACATGTTTGAATCCGACCATTTTAGGCTTCCTCTTTTCTATGAAAAATTAGCCTAACCTGGGATGTAAAATTTGAAAAATTAAACTTCAGAAAATCGTAGGGAATTTATAAGATAACCTTAAACGGAACGGTCGTCTAGAAATTTTTAGGCGTCCTCAAGCTATAGAAAATTCTAGGCAATATCTACTTCTCCCATGATATATTTTACAGAAAAGAGTCGTTGAGTGCCCCTGAAATTTGCTCGCTATAACGAGGTTTCGTTATATCGAGGTTTTTTTTTCATACCGTAAATCCTCGATTAAGCTCCCCCGGGGGGCCTATTATTTCAAGCTTATTTGAGGGGGAGGGGCTTAATAGAGACGGGGGGCTTAATATGTTTAATTTAGAAACTAAGATGGTATCGCTTCTCCATAAAGCCTACAAAGTGGAAAAGCTCAAGTACAGGAAGTTTTAGGTCATGCAGTCGAAAATCATTACCAAATCCGAACTTCCCGTTGGTAAATAAACCATCCCGGATCAGTCCACACGAAGCCTTTACGGTCGTGATTGATTAATACAGTCTTTCATTTATTAGTGAAGAATAATTACGGGTGGGAAGCGGGTGCTTGATAGAAGGGGGGGGGAGCTAATCAGAGGGAGGGGGGTTATTTGACAGGGGGCTTTAATATAGGTTTTACGGCATATTTTACTATTATCGAGGTAAAGAAAATCATTCTTAGGTTCTTTATATCGCGGTTCCACTGTATAAGGGCCCACCCCTATATAGTCTTTTGACGAAAAAATATTTTTTTAGTGTTACGTTTGCAGGGTCGCTCTGGCAGATAAGTCAACGAAACTAAGGATTTTGATTTTTTACATGTTTCGCTTTTATAGCTACAGAAGGTGCCTCGTGAGTTTCTTTTTCGGAATGGTATCTGTCTGCGCGGTATAACCTGGGTCTCAAAGTTCTTTGTCACGCAATCTCGTTTCGCTAAAGGCAGTAAAGGATTCGGTTCTGTTGTCAAATAATGTGAGGTAGGTCAAAATGTTTTCCTTTTTTTATAGCTATAACGATTTGGTTCATGAGAAATGAGAGCATTTGAAAGAATAGCTACCGACACTATTAGCCATTTCGTACATATGTGTACGGCAAAAGTAAACAAATACGCACGTAAGGGAAGTGTTTGTAGTCTAGAAGTTCATAGCACACTTTCGCTCAATAAAATTGCTTTTCCTTTTGAAAATTTACCACTGTGAAATCTAAAATCGTTTTTGGTGTTTAAACTGGCGGAAAAGGGGCTAATTTGCGTCAGAGTTTCAAGTGCTGTCTAGGTTCTCGCTTGTATTCATCACGACAACTGCAAGTTCAGAGGTCGTAAATCACGCGAGTACCGTAAATGTTTTCCGTTGTAAAAACTCGCAGTTTCAATTGCCCCAGAATTTTATTTCACAGATTGATAGGGGAAACATTGCTCTTTCTCTGGAATACCATTTTTTTAATGAAAGCCATGTACCAGGAAGGGATTTTCGCCGTTGAAAAATGGCAAAATTGATGGTCGCGATAATGCTGATTTAGAAGGTAATTTTGAAAAAATATGAAAAAATCAGATTGAAATCTTTTGAAATTGTAACAACGTTTAGGTAGAAAGGAAGGATCATAAAATTGTTTAATGTAAGAAAAGTTATGGTATTAGTTTCCGTTTCCATTCACGAAGCGAGGGTATCAAGCACATTTTTCGGTGGTTTGAAGGCCTCTCGAAGGTGAAAATTAAAAAAAAATATTATTTTGGAAAATATTAAGTCAAACGAACTGAGTTTTGTATTTTCTAAAATAGTTTCCAAAGGGCTTTGTTGTGACAAAGTTTGGGGGATTTCGATTTTTCCATCTTGCACACCTATCCGTGGTATTTACAGAAAGTCGCTCTTAAGGCTGAAATCAGGACAGTTGATAGCCAATCAGATTTAAGAATTTTGTTATAGTTATGATTAATTTATTAATTGGAGCTTCGCTTTTAGCCCTGGCTAAATCTATATATTAATGTATGCTTTTTTTTTTCCGTGAACTTTCCTTTGAGTGTGATACTTGTTTCGTAGCTCACACTGTTATTTATTCACCCACAATGTCATGATGTAAAGTTCAACATAAAAACAACATTATTCTAGCCTTAGCATCACTGTGTATTCTAAGAACACATGGCAAAATTAAGTAAAATATAACCACTAAACCAACAAACTGATATAAAATAGATTGTTCAGTGCCTCTTTTCTGTTTTTAGGATTCTGCCTAAGGAAGAAAACTTTTTTGCCAACTTTCAGGTATATCGCCGCTAAATAAATAAAATGAATAAATGTGTTAGTAAAATTAAAAAGATAGAGATTATATACATACCTTGATGAAAAATAATAATGAATAAAATAAAAGGGAATGCCCGAGTGCTGGCATGTTCAGATTCTACTAAAGATTCACGACGCATTGTCGGAATTGCTGTAAGTGGACAAGCAAAAGCTTCTACCTAAGTTTCAGGCCGGTTCAGATTGATGCACAGTCTACTCCGATCCAGTTCCGTCGTTTCTTCGCGCATTTTCAACAAAATCGTCCGTTTTTAACGAAATCGTCACGTATCAAGAGAATTGCGATTGCTTGATAACGTTTTAGCTAACTAGATGATAATGATAATAATAATAATAATAATAATAATAATAATAATAATAATAATAATAACATGATATTAATTTGAGGAGGACTCGGAAAAAAAATCCGATCTAGTCGGATGCTCTAACCACTTGAGCTACTGGAGACTCTATGGTGAGCAAGGGCCAATTTGTGGGTCTCGACTGGAACCGCATCACGCGGCTACACAGCCAAGTAATGATAGGCACACAAGAAGTGAAGAACTCAGTAACAGCATCGCGCTGTCTCCAGTAGCTCAAGTGGTTAGAGCATCCGACTAGATCACGGAGGGTCGTGGGTTCAAATCCCGTCTGGAACTCGGATTTTTTTTCCGAGTCCTCCTCAAATTAATATCATGTTGTTGTTGTTTCATCTTTAATAATAATAACAATAATAGTAATAATAATAATAATAGTAATAATAATAATGATAAAACATCAGCTATTTTTTACGCAAAACAAGAACTCTGAACGTGCAGCATCCTTTATGGGCAGATGTACGTCTTTGCCACAATCGCACCGTCTGACTTTGTCAAACTATGAACGCGGTCGTCGCTTTAAGCCTTAAGATTGTCAGAATCTGGCGTTCTTTCTGATTGTTCCTGACACAACTCATCTGAATAAGTTCTGCTCTGATTAACTGAAGAACAAGTTTGACGTTCTTCCCACGGGATTCAGATCTGACGAAATAATAATGATAATGAAAAAAGAAGAAAAAATTGATTGCGGGTTACTGGGATCATGACCAAATGTATGCGTCGAGGAGGTTATCTTTGACTAAGTCTTTTCAACTGTGCCTGATTTTTTCTGCATTAGGGAAAAAAAGTCTTGTCAAGAGATGATTTTGATGCTATCTTTGACCATTATGACACGGTACGATTTTATGTTTTTGTACTAAGAGTATATCTTGACTTGCGTACCCGATTAAGTCAGTGTTGCGGCTCAAATCGCAAGCAAACAGTATGACATAATAAGCAATTCCCTTAAAAGACTAAGTAGCGTCCAACAAGAACTTTACGTATGTATTCAATGTATGTCACTTGAGAGGATACTGGTTACAATGTGTGAGGACTGAAATACTGCATTGAAGACAAGTTAATGTGGTGCCTAAAGCGTGGTCATTAGTTATCCTAGGCCGGTAAAATCAACTTTGATGATAATGTGACTGCCTGTATGCAAAGTGTTGCTTTAGATTTGACGACGAGAACGAGTACGAGTACGAGATTTAACTTAACGTTTTTGCACGTGTTCTAAAAAAAAGACACCCCTGGAAGATTCATTGTCCTCTTTTTTCACCAAAGAAGTTAGCACGGTTATTTATACTGAAGGAAGTAATAAGCCCTCACCCGATAGCAAAATGATAAAACGTCTTACATTTGATAACTTGTTCCCGCCACTACGACATTCTCGCTAAAACGCGTAGTAGAATGACGACGGTTACCACATTTTCCGGCCAAAACGACGCTGGTTCACGGGCGCGCACTACTTAGTACTGAGAAAATCTCGTACTCGTAGTCTTCCTCGTGTCAGAATCTAAGGCTCTCTAATAACTATAGGGGCTTAAATGGAGATGATCAATTGATTGATAAAGTTCCAAATTAAACTGCCTTCAGTTCGTGTGAACAGCGAAAAGAGATGTCAAGGAGAAACAGAGAGGAGGATGGGGTAGGGAGTGAGAACTAAGGAACCCTCTTCTCTCCCTCCTCCTCTCTTCCACCTTATTTTTCGCGCTCTCTGACCCCTGTGTCATAGTACTCGGTCTAAAAAACGCAAGGTCACTTTCGTATTTTTGGCAAACCGGGTTCAATTATTTTTCTTAAGCAGTTTGAAGTTCTACTATCATATCCCTAATACGTATGATTTATTAAGTTAAATCATTTGTATATCTTTACAGGACAAAAGTGGTGAAATTGATAGTTCTGAGCTCTTAGTTCTATTACGTGACGTCATGAAAAAGATGGGACTGGTAAGATTTATTCTTCGTTTCGATTAGCTCAAATCCTCTTTCTAATTCGTAAAAAAGCGTTGGCTAAATTTAAAGACGTTTGCTGCATCCGATAAAATGACGTCAATACAACAGAATAAAAGCCATAAAGAGAGAGGAGGCGAGAAGTGCTACGGACACGGTTGAGTTGTTTTCAGTTGGTAGAGCTGAATAAAATGGCAAAATAATGTTAACACGTTTTGCGAAGAAGAAATAGCCCAATTGCATTCAACTCAATGGATAAAGAAGAAATATCTGCTTGACTAAACATCCCTTTGTATCCGTAATTGACGGTCCGAATAGGGGTACCTCGATAACACTAAAAACTTAATTTTTTGGCTCTGTATCATAAAACAGTTATATTTTAGGCATTTTAACACTAACAGTAAAAAATTATCTAGGAAGAAACAAAAACGGCTCCAAAGTTGTAAAATATTTTTTTAAGACTTGGTCTTTTTGCTTACTTCATCCAATTCCAAAAACAATTTTCCACAGGAACCAGACAGTTGCCAGGAACTGGAAAAAATGAGAGATATACTTCTGGGAGTCAGTGATCGAGACAAGAACGGAAAACTTTCCCGATGCGAGCTAGCACTGATGTTATCGGACATGAATGAATAAACAACATATAATACAATATAATATATATATATTTGTTTCGTATTGAATCTTGTATGGTTTTAGGCAAGATAACGAATATTATCTGGCCACCATAGTCCATGAATGTGGAATGGCTGTGTCATATGGTAAGGCGTTTTTCGTAGTGCCCATAAAGAGGCTCGCAAGAGGTGAAAACGTTTTTTTGTTAGCCTGCCTGTATTTATAATTACCAGTGCGCCGGTTCCCAGTTTTTATCTTCTAAATTACATCATAGGGAAAAATAAGCCCTTTTTGAGTTTGCTGATGCAAATATCATAAAAATTCAAAACTATTAACTGCTTTCTCCGAAAGCCGGAGAGGGAGTAAAGGAAGTTATCAAACCTATGTGACATACATACCTTTTTTAAATTCGTCTTAAACTATTTACAAAAAATAGTCAAGGATTCAGATATCCTGCGATTCACAGGGTCACATAATTTGGAAAAACTTGCACTGTGACTCTTCTTTGGATTTCTCGATCAGGGGCTCGACCCCTCTACAGGGCCACACCTTCTTTGCAAAACACGAAATCTAACGGACTATCTGTCAGCTCTCCTCAGGTTTCTAAATCCTTGCTGCTAAAAAAATAAAATAGTCTAGGGGGATAGACGAGTTGATTCAATGAGAATGCTCCTTTCATATTTTCTAGTATTTAGCGCTTTTTATTTTTACCTTAAGCTTTTTGTATGTTTAAATTATAGCCTTCACAATGCTTTCTCTAGTATGATAAATGTACTTGTATTTGCTCAAGTCACTGACATTCCTCGGTATATATGTAATCATTAAAGTTATACGAAACTGTCAGCCAATCCTCGCCTTTCCTTGTCTTATAAATAATACGAGAGACGAAGTAAAGTTGTCATCTGCCTTTCGAAAGAGGGTTATCATATATATTGAATTCTTGGATGAATAGTGATGTTCATTTAACTCAGTAGAATATGGAACATTTTGACTGCTGATCTAGTTGGGTTTGTGTTTTAATATGGCTGAATGGCAGGAGGACATGCATGCGAAATTAAAACCCTTCATCGTAAAAAATAATAATAATAAAAAATAAACAAAAGATTAGGGCCATGCTAGCTCAAGTTAGCCCTGTGGAAAGAGCCCTTTTAGGTAACTTCAGGTGGGACCCAGGCCCCACTAGGTCCCATGAATGTGTCAATTAGCACATAAAACAATTGATTTTATTATTTCATTTAGCCTGAAACACTGATCTCGGGCGAAAAAAAATTGGTTGCATGTTCAGTAAATGACAATTTTGTGCTACAAAACTAGCCAAAACTGCAAATTACGCTTGCAGTTCCTTAGTCGGAAAATACATGAAAATTATGCTCGTCAATGACGAATTATGCCAAAAGTATGCTAGCAAATTCTGTTAAAGTCTAAATACCACGAATTATAAACTGTGTACCTTCGATGGTGTTACCACCCTCATTACTGTTGGCTATCGTGATTGAGGTACTACTCTTTTTTGACGAGAGACCCTTCTCTCTTCTCTACGTCAATGATTCTTGGTGATAAAATTCCCCACCACCAGGGCTGAACAAAATGCGAATTATGATTAATCGATCATATGTGGAATTTACTAATCAGAGACGTAAAAATTGATGCTTACACTTTGATGCTAAATCCCACCATTTTAATAACTACATTCAAATTATTATTGTTAATTTTGTTTACTGATATCTGCTGGGTCATTGAAATTAAAATAAAAGAATTGGCGAAAAATGAAACGCCCGAATATTACGAAGAGTTAAAATACGAAATACAACCTCTGAAACCAATGATTTTACACACACAAAAAAAAACTAAATGGAAATGCAATTAATACTGACAGTCATTTTCATATTTTACAATTTATTGACGATTAAAGCTGTTTCACAAAACATTTGAATTCAACTAGCTGATGCGTACTTAGCACACGCCAAAAAAGGCCTTATTGACGATACCCGCCACGCACGCGATTTAGGATTAATTTACGTCAAGTAAGAATCAAACAGTTGGTACTCACGAAGACAGCATTAAGCTCAAACAATTATATACAGTGTAAATTACAACGAGGAAGATATTAAAGCAATAGTATATTGTCAGTTTCTGTTTAGGCCAGTGATGTTTTACGGACTGTTTAAAATCTTTTCCAGTTCCTTCTTATTGAACTTCTTGTTTTTGTCTTTGTCAAATGCCTTCATCTTTTTTTCTTTAAACTTTTCAAACGTAACGCCAGGCTGTGAATTAAAGGGATAAGATGAAAATGAATTTAACTTCCTTAAAGCAAGCAAGCAAGCAAAAATAAAAAAAATAGAAAAATTAAGTATTCGAAATAAACAGCAACCGAAAGGAAAGGACGCCCTCCAGTGACGGATCCAGAACCTGAGATAAGGGGTGGGGGGCGGTCCCAATTTTTTTTTTTTTTTCAGTCCTCCGGGCTTCAGTTTGGTCTGGATTCGCCACTACGCTTTAGGTGACGAGGAGGGGTATCGGACTGGGGAAGAGTAATAACAATTGCCGGTAATAAATGCACCAATGTCTATAAATGACAGAAGATTTTTACCATACCTTGTGTTTCTTTTGATAGAGATCGTTGAGAAATCCTTCCAGTTCATATCCCTCGATCTCATGGCTATCATCCTATAAGAATGTTTGTCGCAATTTTTTTGTTAAAGACACATGACCTTTTAACCACTTTTGACCAGTACGTGTTTTTGGCAGTATATTTTTTTGCTTTCTATCACTTAGCCCTTGGACGTACATGCAAATTCAAACTTCCAACGTGTACAAGGGAGAGGTTGGTTGAAACGTTCCTACCCTTTAAAGTGCTACTACGATCAAATTTGGGAATTTGTTTTTGATTACATATTTCGAAAATGTATGTAAAAGTGACTTACCGTGCCAAGTTTGGAGTCCAAATATGATCTGGAAGTGTGTTTATTTGCACGGCAATTTTCGTAAATGTCTTGCCGCCATTACTCGATTCAAAAAATGACCGGGAGTAGTATTTGAAGGAGTTGGGGCGAGATGTGACGTAGAAAAATCAACGCGACAAAACAAGGTAAACAAACGAGGCTAATTTCGCATGCAGGACGAGATATTTTTGGAAGCTTTTGGAGGTTCTTTCTTCGCTTTTTTGACTTAAAGCGAAAGTATGCCTGGTAGACGTTGTGTTGTTCAGGACTGTGGAAACGTAAAGAACGATGAATTCTCCTAATTCGGGCAGCGTTAGATTAAAGTGGAAAAGGTTCGTGTCCATTCATCGGAAGGATTTCAACACAGTGGGAAAATTTGCTGTGTGCTCGGAGCATTTTACAAGGGATTGTTTTACGCTTGCTTTTCCGATGAAAGGTATGAAAAGGAATTTGAAGAAGGGGACGTTTCCAACCATTTGGAAAAAATCCTTCCAAACACTATCAAAGCGGAGTCGACGATCGGTGAGTGAAATTACAATGTATTTGCGCTGTGCTTATCACCATTATATTTATTTCCCCATTTACCTGTGACATGATTTTTTCTGGCATCGTTGTTCAATATTCGTGTAATGAATGCTCTGACTATTTGGACTTCCCATATTGTTGCATGTGTTTTCATACTTTTCTGCTTTCTTCTCACAGTTATAGTAAAACGGGCATTTGCGCTGAGTGGACGTGAAGTCAATTCTCCAATTCCCAGACCTTTCCACTCAAGCGTAAAATTTAGAAAAAGTGAAGCTACATAGAAATCCGGCTCTCTATTTTTTGAGAGATTATCTTGCTGTTACTTTGAGATTTGACAGTACTCCAAACTTCCCTCCAAGAAATATTACAGCATATTAGGAGTTACACGCGAGTCTTTTAAAACGACCAAAAATGGACTTAGTCTGATTTCTACATTCCTATAAGTTCAGTTACTGTTTGCGGGTTTTTTCGTTTGTATTTTAATTCTATTTTCACTGTCTGCAAATGATGCATACATTTTAAGGCAAAGATGCGGTTAAACCTTGCTTCCATTTCTACTTTTGAAAACATCGACATAAAGCTCAAATTTAAACTTGTTTTGAAGGGGAGATATAAAAAATGGTCGTACCTATTTTCATTTTTAGCTACTAAATGAAATTCTGGCTGGTCAAACTACTAATGAGGATACAGAGGAAGAAGACAATCCTGAAGAAGAGGTGATCTCCTTGAAAGGAAGTTCTGCACCTGAGGAGAGTGCTGACACTATGGGGGCTCCCAATCTCAACCCTGAGGAGTCTCCAGAAGTCGAGGGTGTTCTGAACACAAGTCAGGGTTCTTTGCTTGAGGTAAATCCTGAAAAGGAGGGCTGCATCCCTGAGACTGAGACGGGTGAGATAAGTGTTGATGCTGAGATGGCTTCAGAGGTCCTAGGTACTCCTGGTGATAAGACAACTCTCGAGAGCCAAGGGATTTCCGGCACTGATGAGGTTACTGAGACCATGCAGATCCTGGAGGCACAGGGAATCGAAAAACTACAGGATATGGATGAAGTTATGCAGATTGATGAATCATTAACGATTCCTGAACTTGAACAGGTTTCTATGGTAGGCACATAACTCTAATTAATGTTTATTTGCATCTTTGTATTATCATAACAACATAACATGTGCAGTTATTTTACAACAATACTAAAACACAAAAATTCTGAAGTTTTGTTATTACAGCCTGTATTATTGTTGAAAGCTTGTTTTTTGTAGGATACTCCAACTGGACATGCTGGGAACTGCACAACATGCAAAACCCTGAGGAGTGAGGTGACTCAGTTAAGGGGCAAAGTCACAAGACTGAAGAGTAAGTTAATCTCCAATCAAGATCAGTGGGTTGAAACCTTTAAGAGCATACAAGAGCCGAAGCAGTTGCTGATGGTGAATGCTGGTGAGTAAACAGTAATTATTGATGTTGATGAGTCATATAGGCATAACTGCCTATCTTTATATTTTTATTACATTTTATCAATATTTGATTATTTAATAATAATTAAAATTTTAATGGTAATAGAATTTTTTTAATTCCATTTGTTTAAGCTATTCAAACTGATCCATGGCCAGTAACAAATGAGACAGAGTTAGGGCTAGAGGATGAATCAGAAGATGAGCAGGAAATGCAGGACGACACGTATGAGGAGTTTGAGTGTGATGAAGACCCTAAATGGAGTCCTGAAGAAATCGAAGATGCATATAAAAAACCAAAGGAAGATGATGACTCGGTGAAGACTCATCAGAACCCAAGGTACAAAGATGCAAAATTTATTGCATTTTAACATCTTAACTCTAAGTATCCTCTGGGAAGTGATTTAGGCCTAAAACTAACTTCCATTATGAGAGGATCTATTTAGAAACAAGAGTACATGAAATTTGTTTTTTAATTTACTCAGATAAGAATTGCTAAAAAAAAAAAAAAAAAAGAAGAGGCACAGCCAGCCCATAGACTGGAAGTCCCAGGCCTAAAAATGTTTGGTTTGTCCACTCAACCACTTGTAATAAATTATGCATCGTTGGGTTGGGCTAGATAGCTTAAGGGCTCAAAGTTGTCATGTGTGCAATCAACAGAATTATTATAAAAAAGCATTTTCAGGATGTATGTGAGAATAAAATCCCAATCCACGATTAGCCAGGTTTACAACAAGTTGAAAAACTGGCAACACCCTGAGAAAAACAATAAAAATGATAATCATTTTTTTTATTGTTATTTTATTATTTCAGATGCTATGATTAAATGAGTATTTCCTTTCAATGATTTTTTACAGGTTGGATCTACAAGGAAAAGACATTCGAGAGGAACCGAAGGGAATTGTTTTCCTTTCTAAACTTCTTCTTTTGTTTCAGTTCTGCCACTTGTGCTTCTTTTCAAAACCCAAACTTTCTGTATCACAGACAGGTACCTTGTTTACCGTAGAAAGTTTCTGCAGAAACTGTAGCCAGACAGAAGTCTGGAAGACTCAACCAGACCTGCTAGGAAAGTTTCCAGCAGGTAACCTGCTATTAAGTTTGCAGTGCTCTGTGAGCCGAGTGAAAAGAAAGAAACGATACATTAAAACTGTAATTAAATTCAGGCTGCATTCGATTTAATTTTTATTACTTGTGTACATGAAAATTGGAGCAACATCAGAATTCCCAGCCACTAAACTTGAGTTTAACTGAACGCTAGAAGAACAGGGCTTCACACAGTGGGCAAGTTTGTCATTCAACAAAAAGAGAGTAAGTGGCTGAGAATTCTGAAGTTTGGCCCATAAAATTAAGTGTTTACGGACAAGTATTTACGCAACTACTGTAGGTCCTTCTTGGCCCCAATGGCATACATGACACTCTTCAAGAACAAACAGTGCATTTATTATTCATTTTCTTCATCTTCGAATCCACGATAATGGCCATTTTGACTCGGAAATTGTCTCCTGATTTTATTGTAGGCACAACAGGGCAAGGGGTATCGCCTGGAACTACCAATATAACTCCACGGCAGTCTTGTAAATTGGCGATAGGCCACAGACCTCAGGCTCAGGAATCTAGTTAGAGAAATGAGATCACTGTTAATTCAAGGAGGGATTGGATGGAGATAAATAAATACTACTTTTAAAAATAAGCAGTTGGGGCAATAAAGCCATTTAGAAAATAAAAAATGTGATTCTATGAGATCAGTCCACGGCGATAAGCTTAGATGTATCAATTATTCAATGCTATGTACGGTTCGATCGTTCCGATACAAAGTCAACAATACCCCAACTTACTCATTATCACTTTAGTTGCTTTGCCCACGAACAGTTGTGTACGACTTTCCAGCTCGCGTTTTTAGGCCCAGTGCAGACACTTCTAATACGTGGCGGTTTAAGCAGACGCTTTCAAACCCTGGATGGAGGGTTATGCATAAGGTCCGGTCTCCAATGGCTTCTTCCATGACCTCTTCGCAGCGATCGATCTCTTTGCAGCAAATGCACTCCTGCGCTTTTGTAACAAGGCTGACAGAGCAGTTCGAGCACGAACACCTGCCAAATAATGTGAAAAATTCGTCAAACACAAGAAAAATACGTCTGTATAAAATTATTAATTGTCTGACCTCTTCAATAAAACTATCGCATAAAATCAGGACTACAGTTAATCACACAGCAACGAAATTGTAAACTTAAACAAAACACACAGTCGCGTTCCTCACGCGCACAATTTAACGACGGGTATGTTGAAATTGGAAAATAAAAATATAAATCTACATTCCATGATAATACCATACCATTCATTCGCTGGCACCTCTCCCGGAATATCTTCGCTGAAACTGTTGTTCCTCTTCTTCTTCGCGATGAACTCTTTCGTTGTAGTCCGCGGCTTCTTCCTCGGTAGCAAGGGGTTCGAAACTGTCGTCGTACGGCGCAAATTCAGACAATTCCCCCATCACTTCGTCAACTTTAAAACTTTCTAGATCACTTTCAGATGTGCAGGAAGAGGAATCCGACGGAGATCACATCTTAAACGTCTTGTTAAAAGGCTCTAAACTCACGAACTTTTCCCAAATGCAAAATCTTTTGGTTGATGTTTCTACGTCACAGTGCATAAATCACGTGGTCAAACGCACGACCGCTTTGCGGAGATCTCGCGGGCTATTGCCTTACGAACTTTGTAATGGCGGACGGTATTTATGCACTTTTCAGTGGGAAATTTCCAGCCCCCGTACGCAAGTATCGTTCCAATTTTTCGCTATTTGTATAATTTTGAACATATACAAAAGATTTATGTTAAAAAAACTCGGAAACAAAAACAAAAATTTTCGTCGTAGTAGCACTTTAAATAGTTGCATCAGTCTGTAACTGCCATAGGTTTCTTTAAATTTATTTCTTATTGTTCCACGTTAACCTATATCATATTGCAGCGAACAGAAGAGAAAAGCCAAGTTGACTTGCCTGATCATAATGTGCAAATATTTCGTCAATTTCTTCTTCGTTAAACTGATGAGAATATAAAATAATTATTAATGGTTAATAACAAATAACAATCAATCAATCAATTAATCAAGTTCTTTCTTTCTTTCTTTCTTTCTTTCTTTCTTTTTTACACGGTAAAAATCAAAGCAGGAAAAATAATGTTTTCCTAAGCTTATAACCATCTTGTTTGAATTCTGATAACTACATTGTAAAATCGTCTAGGCGATAACGTGTTAAAATTCATGTCAATCGTCAAGCTTTGAATCCCAACTGAAACGAACCATTTACCTTTCATCGAATTTTAGGGTGATAACTATTACAATTAGCAATTATTCTTTGAAATCGGGGAGAATAGTGGTACTATTTACCAGGCCGCGAAGCGGCGACGTAAATATTCCTAAAGCCATTATTCACCGAGATTGAAAAGAAAAATTGTTTTAGTATATACACATGAAGTGATCTCAACAAAATTAGAATTAAAAAAGAAAATCATTAACGAGTACGATTTAATTGACGGATCAAATCATGTGAAAGTTAAATCTTTTAAACATGACAATTCACAAGTCTATCACTTCGCAAACAACTGCGTAATGGCTTAATTGGAACCGTTAAAAGTTTGAATTGTTTCCTTACCCAAGAAGAAAAGTAGAGCTTTGTTATTTTCTGTTAACCGGCTCGCCAAGTTTATAGCGAAAAAAGTTTGTTGTGTCGTTCTTCGCGTGAAGTGCTGACATGGCGGTTGCTCGAGGTAAGGCGTCGTTTTCCTGTAGCATTGTTTGTCCTATTTACTTGAAACGAAGAATTTCTGCAAACATTTGCTTTCATATCTGTTTGTCATAAATAAACTTCGATTTTTGGGTCAAATTTTTCTTGTCAGGAAACGCTGAGTTCACGAAACGGCCTCTTCTACGCGAATAAACTGGAGTTGTAAACAATCCATTGAGCAAAACATTCAGCTACAGTAAATGGAAAAACGCCGTTTTGAAGCCTTTAAGTCTTTTCTTGCCTCAAAGAAATCAACTCTAGGATTTTGTCTAATTTTGAAAGATCGTTCTCTAAAAAAATGCGAAAAAGATCGAGCTCACACATTATCCACTCGCTAGGAGGTGAATATTGTTGAATAGTCTGAGATGGCGAACCAATCAGATTGCTTGAATCACCAAGATCACTGAGTGTGTATATAGTAATACGTATTATTCATTATGTAGTTTGTTCGGCGACTCCAAGTTTTACTTGCTTAAGCAAATTGCAGTAACTTTTTAAATTGTACCTTGTTTAAATAATGCAGCCGCATTTAGGATTGCTTACATGTATGCTAGCAAAAATACCAAAATCACCCTTACTTGCTCGTATTGTTCCAGGAAATTTTCTTCCACTGGACAGAATCTACAGAAGAAAAGCACAAATTGTTTCATGAAAACAGACCTGCGCACTGTACCTTCCTCGGTTTACTAATGATTAAATCTTGCAGGCGTTAAGATGCTAGAGCGAGACGCCCGAAACAGGGTAGTCTGATCACAACCGTTCTTTTTGTTGTCACGCAACGCTCTTCTTCCTTCCGAGGAGGAGAGTTGCGTGACGACACAAAGAACGGCCGTGAAGCAGACTATGAACAGGGTGAACTAAAAGAATTATTTTCTTTGCTAATACAATTTCGATTCATTGATATTTGAGGTTATTGAAATATCAGTCAAACTGTTTCATTCGCGTTGAGCATCTGCAAAGAAATTTCGGCCGGGCTCGGATTTGGCAAAACATGCAGTAGAGCCCTTCAAAAGGTGGATAATAATGCCATTCACAGGATAAATCTCTATCCAACGGAGAATAGTGCACTTGGTTTTCCTGATACTTTTTGAGCATTTTAGCAACTGGGGACTGGTTTCTTTCTTGGTTTCTTACCCTCGCCCAAATTCGATTTTCCATCTGCCGAAGGATTTCCCTGTATTTAGTTTCAATGGCCGTTTTTACGCTAGAGACGTTAAAGTTGTCTAGACACATTTAACGTCTGAGACGTTAAAGTCGTCTAGTGTAAAAACGGGACGCACAAAAGTAGACGACCTTATTTAAATAAGTAGATTTTTCTGAAAAAAGGACTACGCTGTACTCTCGGAAGACACTGGACACGAGTTAAAGCGGCGCCAAAAATGAACTTCAAGCTAGCAAACTTCCTAGTTTACGACGTCCCGTCTTTATACCAGGCGACTTTAACGTCTGAGACGTTAAATTCGTCTGTTAAGTGCGTCGTTCGGACGCACTTAACAGAAGACGTTAAAGTCGTCAGAAGTTAAAGTCGTCTGCCTTATTTACCGTTTTTATACTAGACGTTAAAGTCGTCTTAAGACGACTTTAACGTCTCTAGCATAAAAACGGCCAATACCGACTCGATATAAGAATCACACTGTATATAGTATAAACTTACTTGCACATGTCTTCTAATGTGCATTTTCCATTTCGAATGCTATACATTCTGAACTGAAAGATGAAATAAATTATGTTAGGAATGCTGAATTTAAATTGTCATAATAAAAGCTATTACTTAACCATTTAATAATAATAATAGTAATAATAATAATAATACAATGTGATTGAAATGAGCTGTCCGTGGCTGGAAAATAGAGGGTCTAAAGATTTCGAGAAGACAACGAAGTCACAGTCTACTGAGACAAGAGCTGACGAACCGATATCCTGAGTACAAGGTCAATCAGTATAACATCATCATGGATGTCCTTGGAGGCTGTTCGAAAGAGGTTGAGCAAAATATAAAAGAGCTTGCTGGAGACAAATGCGAATCAATTATGCGCCAAATGCAGCAGGCAATCCTGTCTAGTTCATTACGCATTGCTAGAATGTTCAAGCTGAGCGGTTAGATATCTATAGGAATTTTAGATACCTAACACATACTTAAACTTGTACATTATCGAAATTTTATTGACATACTTTAGACGTTCTCATAATTTAATAGACAGCTTTATGAACGACGCTTTTTAATTTATGAACTTTTTTATTTTATAATCAAGACGTCCCTAATTGTAGGATTTTTTAAGACACTTTTATCAGATCATTTTTACCCACTTTGTTTTTTTTTTTCGCAAAAAATTGCGTAATTGTTTCTACAAATTTTAGTCGATGCTGCAGCTGGTTTTACGGTTTACCGCCTAGCCAAAGATTTTATTTTATACTCTGGGCATCCAGACGTTTGTACTGCCATAATAATAGTAATAATAATAATAATAATAATAATAATGCCTTTAATACAGAATCCACAAAGTGGCTCTTCGCCTGTACACTAAAAGCTATCTAAACTAATATTCTAGTAATTTACACATGCAATAACGGCTAAATTCTATGGGAATAGTTTAAAATAAATAAATAAATAAAAATAAAATGTCTATGTGTCATTGAAATAGAGTCGAATCCGGGGCATTATAACAATGGCATTATTGATTTGCTAAAAGAGCCCATAATCCTTAATGTTTCTGACATGGGTTGGGAGGCTGTTGAAAAAAGTTGCGACAGTGTCCTTAAAGGTGCCAGATTCTTAGGGGATAAATAGTAGTGGAGCAACGGGGGATCTCAAGTTGTGTGCAGACATTGCTTCAGTACTAGGTCTAAGGTATGCAGTAAAATTTGTATCATTCCAAAATTTAAAAGGCAGTTTAAGAACAGAAAGTTTGCGCCTCTTGGCAATATCTAGTCAGTTTAGTGTCACCAGGTCAGTCTCATTAGTGTATTTCCTTAACACAAATCCCGCACATACATTTTGCACTCTCTGGAGGCGTCGCAGCTGATAGGCTGGTAGTGGATCGAACACTACAGAGGCATAGTCCAGCTTAGAATTGACGAGGCACTCTGCCATCTGTTTCCTCACACGATATGGAGCAATACGCTTCAGTTTTCTTAGTACTGCCAGTTTCCCGCAGCATGACGCGATTGTTTTGGTGATATGCTCGTTCCATGTCAGTTGTTGGTCAATATGTAGTCCATGCAACTTTGTAAATTGAACGCAAGGGATCCAAGGTATCCCCTTCCCAGTTTACAGTTAAAGTACAGCTGTCCAGGCTATGGACTCGAGACATCTGTGTTGTTGACAGAAGCATTCACCTCGTCTTCTTGGCATTTAGCGCGAGATTAGAGCCAGTAGAATAATTTTCCAGACGTGCTCTGGCATCATTTAGGCCTGTGTTGCTATCATCCAAATTAGACACCTTTGAGTGAAGGTAAAAAGTTGTGTCTTCAGCATATTGAAAGCACGGGCACTGGATATGCTCTTGAAGATCTGCCACATATTGGTTAAATATAAAGGGACTTAATATGAAACCTTCAGGTACGCGGAAATCAACAGCTTCCAGGTCAGACTTTCTTACATCAATCTGGACGAAATGTCTTCGTTAACAGAGATAGTTGAGCATCCATTTCAAGAAGCTTTTGGAGAATCCCATTACATGTATCTTGGTAAGAACTGACTTAAACCTTACGGTGTAAATGCCTTCGAATAGTCGGCCATGACCATCATGGTTACTTCACCCCTCTTCATGGCTCGAATAAGATCGTCCTGATTACCAAGCAAAACACTTGTGGTTGACAGTCCTTTCCTGAAGCCCGAGATGCTTGGGAGTAAAAAAAGATTGCTCATCAATATAGTGGACGAGTTGCTTGAGCACCAAACGCTCGAAGACCTTGGAGAGCGCGGGAAGTATAGAGACCGGACAATACTCTGCGTCCTGTTTTGGATTGTCGACTTTAGGGACGGGTGAGATGTGTGCGGTTTTCCAGATGCGTGGAAACTACGAATTAGAGATGCACACATTGATGATACGTGCAAGAGGACCCGTAAGGAAATCTCCAACCTGTTCTACATATTGGACGGGAATTTGGTCAACGCCAGTAGAACAGTCCAATCTAAATAGGGTAATCTCTTTGAGAACTTCCTCAGTGGATACCGTGCGGAGCTGGAAAGGATAACGATCGGGTTAAATCCACTAGATCGGTGGCCTCGTCTAGTACCGTGCCTGGTGTTCTCTCCGTTGTCTTGATAAAATAACGATTCAGCTGATCAGGATCTGCACTAATAGGCCTGGGGCTAGGGTGAATAACTCTATGAATAACCCGCCAAATCTCCTTAGGTCGCTTTGACGAGAGAGTGGTGTTCAGAAATGTTCTTATAGCCTTTCCGTTGACAACAAGCGCAGCTTTCAGTAGTATTTATAGTTTGTTCAAACAAAATATAAAATGCTCGTGCAGCACACTTTTTTGTACATTCTTTGCCGCTGTTTTGCACGACTACAACGTGAAACTTCCAGAAACTTCTAAGTTACACGTTTTATGGAGGAAATGTCGGACGTTTTCTCGTTCACTTTGTTTTCACTGCCGCTCATTTTCACCTTGCATTGGTGACCGCTAGCATTTCTCATTTTGTCACCGCCGTTACAAAATTTTCATGTTGTTCTTCCAACAAAAAAATCTCTCCTTTTTTTTTATCCCTCGCTCTAGATTTCTGTCGCCCTTTTTCTCGTTGAACTTCGCTGGCCTGCCGCCTACCTTCTCTTTTTCTCTGTGTTTCTCTTGCTCTGTATTCCAAATTTGTGGACATGACAATTAATCTAAGCTTAATGCTTTAGAAAGCATGGATATAGAGACAATTTCCGCTTTCCGTTTCCATCTTCATGGAATCTTTAGTTGTCTCTGCTTTACAAGACGCGGGTGGCTATGCGATTTCCCGTCAAAATAACCTCCAGTTGCATTTGAGTTGCCATACCTGTTGATTGAGTTATTTTACATAGGTATGTCTGTGGTGCGGATGGACGGTCAGGCAGTCGGTCAGTATACGGTCACATGATCACCAAACGTTTCTCGGATGGGTAGTTTACCACATTTTCTTACCCATGGTGCTCCGCTGTGCCCGCGGGAGCTCCGCTATTACGCACAGCTCTGAACGCAGTCCATGTCTCATAAGTGCCACTACAACAGGCTTGTGCCCTTACCTTGTCCCTAGTAGCTTGGAACTCACGTATCTCATCAGACGCCATCCATGGGGCTGGCGGTCGCGTTACCTTCACTTTCTTCAAAGGGGCGTGGCGGTCTAAGCACTCAGTCACGAGAGAGTAAAGTAAATCCACCAAATCATCCGGTGACTAGATGAGATTCAAATGCAGAGACGAGAAATCTTGTTTAAAAGCTTGCATGTCAAGCTGTTCCTCATTGCATATGCATTTATGACGGGGTGCATATCTGGTAACTCGCGCGTTGATAATCGCGTAAACAGCTTCATGATCACTCACAGATGGGGCTGGAAATACGTCAGTGTGAACGACTCTCGAGGGATCATTAGGGATGACGTAGGTGGTCAATCAGGGATTCCGTAGTGCGCGTGACTCTGGTTGGTTTTGTAATGTGTTGAGTCAAGTTTAAGGACTCCAAAATGTTCCTGTGCTGGCGCTCAATGTGACTCATGTTGGGTTTCATTATCTATCTATCTATCTATCGCCAGTTACTAGTAGCAACCCATCCCATGTCGTCATCACAGTAGATAATAAGTCATCAAACTTGTTTAGCCACACCTTTGTATCAAGAATGAGTTCAGATCGATAAATAGTGCCGATCAAGAGCTTGCTATACTTGTTCTTCCAAGAAAACTCAAGCCACAGGTGTTCGAATTCAGTTTCCAAGTTCTTGATGTCAGTTCTCCTCTTAAACTGGTCACGTTCCTTAATATAGGCACCCACCCCTCTGCCTTTACATACATCCCAGTTACGGTATGTAGCGACATAACCGGGTATAGAAACGTGGTTAAGAAAAAGTTGGTTGTTCTTTAGCCTTGTTTCAGATAACGTAACAGTGTCGAAAGGTTAATCACTAATCAATGGTGACAGTTCATCGAATGTAGACGTCATGCTTTGGGTGTTAAGATGCATCATTGATAGGTGTGAGGGATAGGCCTCATTTATACACCTAATTGCACTCACGCTGTTATAGAAAAAAAGCAAGAAAGCAAAAAGAAAGAAAGAAAAAGCCAAATAGGAATTAATGGAAGTTATTTATTTTTTCTTTTCAATCACATTCTCGCAAATTAGTCAGCAAGTTGGTTTGTATGTTTTGAAAACACTTTTTCAGTGCTGTTTTGTATATATATATATATCAATCTGCAGGCACAGTCAGTAGAGTTGAGAGAAGGTGCATTGGCCAATGTAAAGATGATTTCTGCTTCTTTCTTTTTCGTCGGACTAGATCCCTGAATGAATTGAGCGTACTCTGTATATTCCTTTTTAGCTTTGTTTAATAATTCTCTCTGCTCCGATTGGGGTCACCAGTTGATCGTGGTGTGGCGGTTTGCGTGTGTCAATGACCCCTAGAGCTATGTCGGCTGGAATCTTGTACTCCTGGTAGGGCCACCCGTGCCAAAAAGGTCGAAGGGTAGAGACCAGACAAAGAGTGATCCACTGGTCCTCCAGGATGGAGGTTGGGTTTAGGGCTAACGACCCTACCACATAAAAACAATAACTGTTACAGAAACTAGGTGCGTTGATAATGAGGCAACACTGACTCGGGGTGTGCTGGTAATGCTGCAATGGCTCCGTTGAGTCAAAGCCAGCCGGAAGCCTAAAGGCCGATAGGCCCCATAGTAGCCCCTAGGCGACAGACGATCATCGGTTGACAGTCGAGAAAGAGCGAAACAAAGCAGGTTTGGGTGGAATAGCTGGGAAGTAGTGAAAGCGGTTGCACAAGACAGAAAGTTCTGGTCAAACAGAGTGGAGGCCATATGCGCCTACTGGCGTGATGAGACCTGATGATGATGATGAATATTTCAGTCAGATGTTTTTTGCTTGGCAGTCACAAAGAAAGTTGAATGTTTTATAGTTGAATTTGTTCATTGAAATAATTGCAAAGAGGAATAATATAAACGGAAGAAGAATAAATTAATGGGGCAATTATTTTTTAAACTGTTTTAATAGAAGAGTAATCTTGTCCAGTTGTTATGAGTTACCATCGTATTAAACAACTTAGCCTGCGTAGCAAGCGTTTCCGTTTGGTTTCGGAGCAAAGAAAGACCGAGGAACGGGATTCTCGGTTTTGGTCGCACGAGAAATAAAACAAGAGCCAAGAAATGAAAGTGGGGGGAGGGGGAGGGGAAGGTGAAGGAAGGAAACGCTTGCAGACAAACCCCTCGCTTTTGAAAATATGCGTTCGCCAGCGAACGCAGCGCCTGATTGGCTCGACTAGTCGAACAATGTTAACATATGTCGATCAAAGGTTTATTTCATACTGAGAGGACAGTATGGTACGTGACACGTATATCAATTTTTGTTGTTTATTCTGGTCGGCAAATTTTGCCAAAGCATTTTCTTTGACCTCTTTTGAAAGGTAAGGCTCTTCTTGCGACTAAATAAGGTTTCAGGTCGTTTAATTTATTGGCCAAAGTGCCTCCTGGATCTGAATAACTAAAAGCGATTTTCTTTTGTCCGCGAATGCGATGGTTTCCTGCAATGTGTCATGCTGGGCCCAGCTCGTTAGTGTTTTTTTTGAGGGATGTTGAATTCTCTCAGATGGTTATTCACAGACTGTTCTCTTAGACGGATTAAAAAGACAAATGTCCAAAGCCTGTATTGATCGTTCGGATTCATTGATATTTCAACATAAACGCCGTCCATGTGTTACAAAATACAAAAAAAATATATTTTGAGTTCACATACGCGTCCTCTGAAGTTCATTTCCGCTCCACTGAAAGCCAAACATTTTATTGGTCAATTATGATAGCTGATGACAGCATCAAATGTCGGTGCGCGAACTCAGCCATGACAGGCCAAGTGGGCGGTTTTCAAAATCCCGGGGTTTGTCTGCAAGCGTTTCCTTCCTTTCTTCCCCACCCCCTCCCCGCTCTTTTCCTTACGCCATTTTCGCGCGGTCTTTGACTATCGTTCCTCGTTCTTTGCTCCTAAACCGCACGGAAACGCTTGCTACGCAGGCTATAAACAACTAAGAGATACATTTCTGTCTCACATACCATGGCTTCGATATACTGATCAATCTTGTCTTTCAGGTCTTTCGGATTTCTTGGATGGCTGTCATTCTTAGTTATCAAGTCATAAAAAAATTTCTAGAAATTAAACCATAACATTACAAGTTTATTGCGATTATGGTTCCCTCTTGTTCAACAAGTCAAATCACTGACGGAAATTTTCCCGAAGTTACAAAGAGAAAAGAAAATTCGTCAGAGGTTGTTGACTTAACTCCCCCTAAATTGCGTAACCTATAGCTATTAGGAAATTTCACCATGTAGCGATAAAGGGGACGGCAAAACATAATGAATCAAATGGAGTGCTGAATGTGCAGATTGAAGTTACTGTTTGACTTACGTTTCAGGGGCACCCAACGTCAATTTTCGGAAAATATCTGTTCGAAGACGATTTCAGATCTAGAATTTTCGGAACATTTGTTGTAAAATTTCTTGCTTGCCTGCCTCTCCTAGGATATTCGAACACCAAAAGGTATAATTGCCCATTTTTAACTGACTTAAAAGGTCACCTTGAATTTTCGGGAGCCATTTTTTCTGGCTGAAAAGGTCAGTTTTGATCCCTATAATTTTTCGGATCACTAGACTTTCAACTAGGAAATCCGAACAGATGAAAAATTTTTAGGGGATCAAAATATGCCTATATTTACCGTTTAAATACCAAAATAAGTTTAACAATGCTATGTTTAAGTGGTTTGAACTATATTCTCGTAGGGTGCCCCTGTTTTTTGTAAACTCAACATACAGTAGAGGATGTGATTTATGATCACTAAACGTCATTTGACTACCAACCCTAAGTTCGGCTTGATCTAAATATCCATTACCATCAACATCATAGTTGTCCCAAATCTGTAAAAGAAAAGAAATTAAACTAACTTTAGGGGTCATACTGAGTAAATTAGTTTCCAACTTTATTATTACCCAGTTAATTTTATACTGTACGAGCAGCAGCTGAGTTTGGTTTTTATTTAAGTCTGTCTGATAAGGGTCATTCGCCACAGATCATAAGCCTAGTTGCCAGAAAATCTTTGGGAACGTTTCGATTGACTCAATTTTTGTGGAGTTATAAATGAGGTGGCGATTGATTCTGCACAAAACAGGATTTCCTCGCTAAAAGTTTTTCATGTCCTACTTCATCGACGGTCGAGTATTTTTCAAGGCATTTACTTTTATATCGTATCTGACGATATGGTTCTGAATTGACTGAGTACGCCTGTATAAAATACACGAAAATCAACGGCCTCGATTCGAAAGAAATTACATCACTGCCAAAGAGCAAACACGTGATGAAACGGTAAAACGTATGCTCATCACAAGACCGGCTCATTTGAATACAACACCTGACCAGTTACTCTTCCCATCGAAGTTTTGCTCATTAAGACTCTTCTTTTTTTTCGACTAATGAAGTATTCACTTGTTCCTATAAGTAATCAGCGCTATCAAGCGATGGAATTCGTGGACCGACCCGTCCCGGAAAAGCTCGACTCCTTTCGCATTCATCTTTCCTGCGTTTTCTTCACAAAACATGCATGGCACTTTGAATATGTTGTCGGTTACATCACTATTCCTGACCTCTTTTTCCCAGTTTCCACAGAAAAAAATGCTTGCATTTTTAGTATGTCTGCTAAGCAAGATGGAAACGTTTATATCGAGGCCAGCCTTTGGACGTGCTTCAACCAATCAGAAAAAAAAAAAGAAGGAAACTAAAAGAAAGTAGGTGTTGTTCGCTTGATAAAAAGATTGTGTAATATTAGAATCTAAAAGAAAATTATTATAGTCTTACTAGTGTTTTAGTTCGCAATTGATAAAATCACTCAGATTAAGTTTGTATACTTGCCCGCGAAGTTGTCCTTTCTATGTTGTTAAAGTCGGTCCGTAGGAATGTCATTGTCCATGTAGTGGACGGTACAATTCCCTCAAAGCAATATAGCTGTAGCTTTTAAATTTTTGGACATTGATAATGATAAGGACGGACATATCAGTCTTTAGAAAGCGATTTTCATAGAATGCATGTATTTACAACGCCATCTTAAACAGAAACACTTTCGACAAAACTTTCTAGCATAAATTGTAACTCTTTAAAAACACGACGTTTAAGAGACGACGTGATGTCAATATTATCAAATACGACAAACAGAAACGATAAAGGATATAGTTAAAAATACGTAGAACAAAATTGAAATTTCCTGTAAACTTGTTGCTTTTTAAACGATAAAAAAAATTTTCCAAAATAAGTGGTTCACTGAATATTTTTAGCAAAATTTGTGAAGGGCAACAAAATTAAAATTTCCAAAATAAGCACCGGGGCTTAAACGCTTATTTTTGAGAGGGCTTATATTCGGATTTTTGGGAAATCGATTGGGCTAGCCTTATAGTTGGAGATAAATTTACCGTTTTTGCTATATTCGGTTTGGGGGCTTATATTTGGAGGGGCTTACACATGGAGGGGTTTATTTTCGTAAATTTACGGTATTTAAGACCCTAAGAGTGCAACATATTTAGTTTTTTCACTCGTTGCATGCCTATATATGTAACCGGCCATTCTCCACATCTATAGTTTGCTGTTTACCTTCATAAAATCAATGCTTGAGATCCTTTCGTGTTGTTTTCCGAATTCAGCTTTTAGAAAGTTAACTGGGACAATGTTTGCTGTCAGCTGAAACAAGATCATAGAGTACAATTCTTTTTTTTTTTCAATAATTTGTACTATGAAACCTTATCATGATATGGTTAATAGAGGATTGAAAAGTAGGTTGAGTTTGATCGTCCGGATAAAAAGATTGAAAGATTAAAAGTCATCTGTTTTAACTACAATACTATCTAGTAGTCTCAGAATCACAGTGGTGCACTTTAATTTTCTTCCACATTTAAGTGATTCAAAATTCACCAATATGACTTATTATCATTAGCTTTTAAAAGTTACCGTGGATACTGTTATGACGTTTTCGTCACTGCTTTCTTCTTTTATTTTTTCAGCAATTTCCACCGATCTTGCATGCTCTATGAGTCCCTATAGAGAAAATTAGAAATGCCTTCACGATAATAATAGACCTAAAGCAAAGTATTGTCCTAAAAAATTCTGGGGGCGTGCCTGTGATTAAATTTCTCCAGAGGCTTGCTTTAGATTTTCCATATATTTGTCTGTAATTTCCCGTGACTTTCTTACAGACAAATGTATAGAAAATTTTAAAAAGTGGCTCTAGGTCTTCTAGTGCATGTAACGCATCTTCTTGTTGGCAAGGAGTTTGCTCGAATAACCATTAATGATGAGTAACTAAGCAAACGTTACTTATCCAGGGAATTATCCTTAGACTAGTGTTAGTACCTTTGGAAAAATGTTTTTCTTCTTTTTTTTGTATATATTTAATAAAATTCATTCACCATTTTTTCTTCTTTACTCAGGACAGAAATCATTCGTAATCTTTCCGGTGAAAATTTCAAAATATAAATTAAACAAAAATACTTTTGCAGGTGGCAACAGGTTCGTTCATTGAATTTGAAAAGCAGACAACCATTAAAATGGAAATTCAGAAAATCCTTAAGTGAAGTTACCAACTTTTATACTGATTTGGAACACTCATGTTTAAAAATAACCTTAAGGTGGAAATTTAAAGTATATATGTTGGAAAGGAACCATGAAAAAGATCGGTAGAATAATTTAAGTTCAAGTGACAAGATCTGAACAGTTTTCGTTCTTTGCGTTCGGATTCTTAATCGAAAATCTCAAATACCTTATATTATTCTTGGCTTTGCAATTTTGCAGAACCTTGGGATATACTTAAGCATAGTTGCCTTAAAATAAAATAAATTCCAGCTGCATCTGATGGTAACTATACTAGCGAACCTACACTGTGATAAAAGTATACCGGGCGGGGTCCATAAATTTTTGTATTGAGCTAAATACTATACCTCGTCCTCAAAAGCCTTCAGAAAAGAATCTATCTCGCTCTTTTCGATGTGTCCATTGCCTGTGAGTAAATGAAACGACAGAAAAAAAGTCAGACAGTGTAAGGTGTATCAGATCTCAAAAGATGATTCAAGCACAATTGATAAATGGCAATATCTGTTGCTTCTCTTACTGACCGTCCTTGTCAAATTTCTTTAAGATGGTTACAAATTGCTTCGAAGTAATGCAAGTGTCTTCCGACGCCATGACAAACAAGCAAGCCCAAAATTAGCTAAATAAGCTGTGTTTCGTTAAGCGATGGTATAATACGTCTATTCAACACCGTCTTTAAACTGGTAAACAAACTACCTTATCGATAAAAGGATTTCTATTGGCTAATATTAATAAGACATGTCAATCGAGAACGAATTTTATAGCGGGGCGTCCACGCGCACGCAGCTAACCCTTTTAGCTATAGAATATGGAAACCTGTCAATTCCAGAAAATTTGGTTATGAAGTCAGCGTACGCCCAAACGTCCCCGGCCCGTACCGACTCTGGGGTTAAGGGTAAAAAAACTGAACAGTGTAGGGAAAGGAATCCGTGATATGTACGTTGCGTTTCGTTTTGGCGCAAAACTAACCATCTTAAGGGCAACCAACCAGTAAAATTCTTGGACCAAGTTTCTTGTGTTTGAGTTACGACAAAATTTTCGGTAATTAATTTCTGAGGTTTGGTCACATTTTTGGTCACTGATTCCAGGAACAACCTAGTTCCCCCCCCCCCCCCCCCCCGCCTTGGTCTCTAACATATCGTGTTCTTGTACTGCCGTCACAAAATGAAAGACAACTGATGTCCACTTTCTTTCTTCTGTTTTTCAAAACTGACTTGTTTTATTTAGTTTTTCTTTCAGAAACGGGTCGCAAAGGGGTTCATCGATGCTGCGTTTCTGCTGGTTTGCGATAGTTCATGTAAGCTCGTACGGCGGACTACAGAAAAAATCTTTTGACATTTCAAATTATTGACTATTAGTTCGTGTTCTTCCACTGTCGCTACAAAATGAAATACAGCTGCAATGAAGATGTCTCTGTTGTTCGAATCTGGTTTGTTAATATGGTTTTGGGGTGGAGGAAAGCTTTGTCACGAGAGTCAACGAAAGTTGAAAATGCAGGCTTTTACAGCAGAGTACAGGAAAAGTTTCTGACCTCACTTACTCGCTTTCACGATTGCATCCTTGGTGAGCCTGAGTAGTTATTACAGTTTTTGTCTCGTTTTAGTTTTGCTGTCAAGTCAGGCGTAATTATTTCATGTCTTGACATGTATCAAAGATTTGAGACAGCCACGAAGCCAAAAGAAGAAGTAAGCTAATGATAAATTTTGCCATAATGTCCATATTCGATTCATTTTAATTTTCACACTTCTTATCTTATTTTACTCGAGTGTATATCTGTTAAACGGAGTTCAAACAGCTCAGTATTTTCGATTGCTGTCTTGAATATTTTTTTGTTGTTGTACATGTTTCATTGAAGTTTTATTCATGTTTTGATAGTCAGTCATAATTTTGCAAGGCGTTGTGTAGCTTTTCTTTTTCCTTTCGCGGACTGTGTCAGAATGAAACGTGAATAAAACGCCTGGAAATGGTTTAGAATGGCTTATCTTTCCTTTTCAACGCAACAAAAATCTTGAAGGGCAACTTTCGAACTATGTGCAAATGTCTTTTCAAAACACTCAAACGTAAAGAAGGGATTCGCCTTGCTGCTGCTGCATTCTGTGCTTGATCTTTTTTCCTTGTTTTTTTTGTTTTTTGTTTATTTTTTTTTTCAAGGTAACGACTTAGAAATAAATTCACTGCGCTTCCTGAACTGAGAACATGATACCCTGTGGTAATGTTAATATTAACACGTGTTTTCATTTCGTCAATTGTTATTATAATAATCCGAATAGTGCTAAACAATTAGGCCTTTTCCGAGTTCCCCCGGGGCCTCTGTATCAAAACGAGGTTAAGTGCTCAGTCTTTGATATGGAAATGAGTTTTCATTCTCACGCAAATAAAACTCATTTCCACCTGAAAGGTTGTGCACTTGGCCTCAATTTGCAAGTGAGGGTTTTTGGAACTCGGAAGTGGCCTATTAAGCTACATACGAAAAGGATTTAATATTCCACAGGCCAGGCTGTAAATGCACCTGTTCTGAACTGAACTTATGATAAAGATTAGATAAATATATATGGCGTCCAAACTCTGTTGTCTTGAAACAATAGTTGTATATTCCATGTGGTTAGAATAATCAGTGGTTTGCATAATTTTTTAAACGCCTTATAAACGCCATCATTTACAGCTTAATATCAAATTAACTAAAATTAATGACCTCAGTTAACGTTAAAAGAAATAACAATCTTAGATTCAAATATCAATGACCTTAGGCTGACGTAGAGCCTATTTGTAGCAATCTAGGAAATAAGAGGATTTAAGATTGCCAATTGCACTTATTCAATTAACGAAAACTCTTAATCTTCAGAGACGCCTAAAGATACATATTTACTGTCTACCTTTTATCACTGAGGTACCAGTTTTTGTTTTTTTATTTTCGCTCTGGTAGCCCGTGTGTCAGTTCTTAGATAAACTTTTAGACAATTGTTTCCGAAAAGATTTAAGTTCACATAGTGTCAAGAAAAAAAAAGAAAAGAAAAAAAACCATTAAAACTTGCGAAAAGATTATCTGGTGTCAGAATTTTTCACAAAATAGTTATATTGAAATGCAGGCTTTATTTCTTTAATTTCTAACGATGATAACATTTGGCTATGAACCTGACAAGTCAAGGCAAAAGAAAGTTGACAACAAGACAAAAACAGTTAGTTGTTCATTTGGGTCGACATAAAGTATTAAAAAAAGATATCAACTCACTTGGCTCCATCTATTCATCTTCATTTCTTGCCATTGATTATTTCGTCCTACCATATATCAATAAGACATACATTCTCTCCAGAGATGATATTTTAATCCACGTCTATAGCTGTGTTAAAATCAATCTTTTGTACAAAAAACCGAAAATCTGTTACCTTTGTTTTATTTTGATCATTATTGCTTGTCACAGTGCTAGGAGATCTCAAGGAGATAATTTTTTGCCATTTTAATCTGGCGTGCCTTGCCACAGATACAATTTATTTATATTTAAAGTCAGGACCCCTTTTAAACGGACATCAGGTCCTTTTTTTCTTCAAGTATTATCTATAAATTACAAGATAGGTTGCTAATACATGTTCGTAAAAACAAAAACAAAGCTATCGCCTTGACGTGAGAAATTCGACAGCAGTAAGTCGTTCGTTTTTATAGATAACTATGTCAACATGCGCCATGAACTAATGATATCAAACCACTCTTAATTTGCATATGTAAGCTTTCATTTAGCGAAGAAGGGTTTGATTTCATTTCAAGTGCTTCGTAGTATGTTGTTTTAATTCGTCGCTGTGGATCCTTAAAAACTGCTAAATCTGAATCTATATCCGAGTGGAAAACAACAAATAAGGTATTTCAGAAAGAAGTTTCCTGAATATCGCAAACGAAAGGAGTCGTAAGGTATGAGATCGCAACAAACAGCCATAGTTTCTTTTAACCATTTCAAAAAATTGTGGGTTTTTACAGTATGTCATCCAATTGGTTTCAACATTTCCTAAAACCCCACCATATTTAAGGATTAGCTACTTAAAAAAAGTTAAAGCTTTGAAGGTATCTAACCCTGCTCATTGAAAGGTCCAATTACAGGTTACTGTGGAAATTATATATGTAAACGCTTATTTCTGAAAGAGATCATCAAAGAACGCATTCTAATAAACTAGTATATGGAATGAACTAAGATGGCAATCACAGTATGAAACCGCATTTAAGATGCTATGAATTTTTTACTTCGAGGACTAGACTATTCTGGGTCTTTAAAAGATATGGCATTTTATCACAAAGCGTGTTTTTGCGTGACACTTAAGTATTCAAGGTTCTAGTCGATAATTTTTTAAAAACGAATGCAACAACAATCGATCCCCACCGATTTAACTTGCTTCGTTTGTTAGATCAATGTCATGATGAAATACCATTTGGTCAGTCACGGTTTATTCGTTAACAATTCGATACTGAAACAGCTTTTAATTGACATGAATTTGATTTGGTATTTTAGAGGATGTATGTAAAAATTAATATTAATATAGCCCATTTTAAAAAGCGTTGAAATACAGGTTATTCATTAATATTATTCGGTTAATTTAAGGCAGCCTTTAATTATAATAAAGCAGACCAGTTATTTTACGTATTACTCGACACTCATTTTTTTACCAATTTGAGTCACTTAAACGCCAAGAAATAATAGGAGGTATCTTAATTTTTCGTGAATTACAATAATTAGCCATGCCAGGATTGAATATACGCAGAGTTTGCAAGTAAAACTAGCCAGTTGAAAATATAAAAAAAAAACATACGTGACTCAAAAAAACCTTTTTAAAGTGCAACCACTCATATTCAAATATTTAGTTTACCAAGCTTACTATTAAAGAAAGCCAGAAATGGTTTCCAAGATCGAAAACGTGACAGAGATAATCGAGGTGGTTAGAGCAAATTTCAGCAGAATGCTCCATATCTGAATTACAATCTTAATAAATAAGCGTATATTTTACTTTATGCACTCTGAAAAACGTTTAGTAACCCGAAGGGGGTAAAATTATTGACTAAGTGATTTTTTAAAAGGAAGCTGTTTTGCTATGAACGATGACATGGCATGACGTCTTATGGTGGACAAGCGCCTTTTAAATGCTCTCATATTCCTTTCCTACTAATGGAGTTTGAAGTCGTCAAAGAACCTATACAAGCCTGGTTGCAATTTCCAATCATAAAAGTCAACACAGACCGGGCTTAGACAAATTAAGCATTTTGAATATATCAAATTTCTCGCCATTCCAATCTTATCTCAGAAATGAATTTGACATTAAATTTTAGTTGCCTGGCAATCTTGCTGCCCTTTTGAGGATTGATTACATGTTATATGGTTTTCTCAATTCCTATTGGCCAACAACCTCTACTGATATAAATCATAAAACAACTTAATGGTGACAGTCTGAGATGAGTCCTCGAAGACTGTTTAACTCATTTCGCATTGCAATAAATTATATGAGTTATGTACAGTCGATTTAATCAACACCGTGACCACCGAGTAAATTGCGAAATTCGGTTGCCTCAACGAAAGGCGTCTTGTATTGATTTAAGATTTTACTTAGTATCAGAAAAG